TTCATAACAAAAATGTGTAATCACAACAAAAACACTTTTACTTACTCTAAACTTTGAAGAGCTTCTAAAATTGAATGTTCCATTTGATTAACAGAAGCATGCAACACATTAGTAATTTAAACCCTTAATTAAATTTTTGTGAATACCTAATCAAAAACCAGAATTATTTTTACAACAAGTATATTTGATTTGATAACATTTGTTAAAAAACTGATGAAAGTGCTTATTGCATATAAAACTTCTATAAAAATTCTTCATATAAAATTAATGTTACCATCTTCATATAAAACTAATGTTACCATCTTCATATAAAACTAATGTTACCATCTTCATATGAAATTAATGTTACCTGTTCATATAAAAATTATTTTTGAAATAGTTAAAGAAAAACTAAGTTCAAAAAATAAATTTTTATTTTAATGTACTTAAAAAAACATTTTGTTTAAATGTTTTAAATTTTTTTTGCATAAGTCAAAAAGATAGAGAAACAAGGCACCAAGGGTTTGTCCATAAATTACACAACACCAAATTTATTTAAAAGACAGCAGTAGGATAACTCAAGTTTTTTTACACACGATTTTCATTAAACTTAATGCACTATTTTGATTTTTGTTTAAAAGTCTAAAAGTCTGCATCTTACAATCTTTAAATTTAATATAAAAAAATTTATAAGTAAAATTAACACACAAAAAATTTTGTAAACCCTAAATATCTTTGAAATAATAAAATATTTTTTATAAATGAAAATGAATAAATAGAGTAAAAGTTATTAGCTCAAACAATTGTGTTTCTCTGTTAAACAATTCTTTCTAATTCCTTCGCATAACCAAGAAATTGCTCAATTAACTTAACTGATGGTATTTCGTGATTTGTTTGCTGCTTAGTTTCGAAAAAATAATTTTTAGATAAATCTTTTTCCCATTTTCGCTAAAATAAAAAAAAATTATTTTAAAAACATCCAAATAACAAAAAAAAGCCTAAAGTTTAATAAATAAATCTATTTAATAAAATATTTTTATGAGAAAAACTGCTATCTGAAAAACTCACATAAAAACCCTATTTGATACATCAAATAATTAATCATTGCATAAATTCAAAAAATAAAATATTGCATAAAATGTTATATAGAAAATACTAAAAAACAAATTAAAAAAACACAAAAAAAACAAGGATAACTGCCCTGATGTAACAATAAAGCAACTTTTGAATTGATAAAGATTTATACTTAAATTTTTTAGCTTAACAAAAATTAAGGATTTAGGTTTATATTGGTTTAATAGCAACCAAATTAAAAAAAGCAAAACAAAAACCTTTGTCCAAAATAATGTCAACCTTCAACCAACAAAAATATATCAACACTTGTCCAACAAAAAAAAAACATTTAAAAAAATAAAAAAAATAAAGTTCCTTTAAATTAATTGCACTTTAAGATGCTCTTACAAAAAGTACATATGAATTGGTGAATGTTAAAAGGGTAGCAGTCCAATAATGTAAACTTTCAGGAAACTAAAAAAAGACTGCATTTTCCTGTGTAGTAAATTTTTATTAATGGTTCAAAAATTTTTTTTGAAGGTAAAAAACATTATCCTCTTCAAAAATAAAAAATAAACCATTAACAAAAATTTACTACGAGGAAAAAAAATGCATTTTTTTAATTTTCTTGAAAAATTCATAGTTGGACTTCCCTATTAATATTCACCGATTCATATAGAGATTTTTAATAAAAGTTTGACCTTAAAATAAATACAAAAAAGATTTTGCAATTAGTCTAACAGTTGTAATTTTTAACAAAATAAGAAAATCACTAATATAATTAGAAACAAACATTTCAGAACAAAAAACCCTTACAGTGGCAGCATAGTTTGTTAAATCAACTTCTTTATCAAAGAAAAGCATTCTGCAAGCTTCTTTTGTTGAAATATGACTATATGATTTTTCAATACAGGCAGCTACTTCATCCCTTTATTTAATAATTAAAATTTTTAAAGTTTCACATGGTTTAAACAACTACTTAACTGATTTTTCATTTCATTTTTATAATAATTATGAAAAAGTAAACACCTTAATGTATCCAAAAGAATATTAATAAAAAAATGATAACTTTCAGCAGGTACATTGCCTTTGCTTAAAAACACCTAATAAAGATAATTACAATAATTATAATTTTATGAATTTATAATTATTAATTTACAATAATATAACTATAGTTTTAACTAAAATAATAGTCTTTAGTTACTTAGCAAAATACCTTATTATAGTTGCCCTCCATCAAGTACTAAATAAAAAAAAGTAGCAACATTTATATATAAAGAAATATTGAGCTAAATTTATATTGATTGTTATATAGATGCATAAAACATGCATCTATATAACACATTAGGTTTGTAATAATATATTTAGCGTTTATTCCTGTCATTTACTATATGACCTTACAAGAAACAATATGGTCATTATGCGAGTAATAGCAGTAGATTTATTTGGTTAATAACTTCTACACTCAAATGAGAATATTGTCGAAGTAATTTTAAAACAGATTCGCTAACATTTGTAATAAAGTATAGAAACTTCAAATACTTACTTTAAAAAAGATAATTGTATTGAGTTTTTAAAATCCTTTTCAAGCAAAATAAACTTTTCTCCTAATTATTATATTTGAACTCAAAATTAAATAAAAATTTTGAAAAATATGGTTCAGAATAAAGTTCGGGATAAAATACAACTGCATACAAACTAATGTATGTAACATAAAGAGTTGCTAATGGTACAGGGTTGTTTTTTTGGTTAAGCCAATATTTTGGATGAAAATATTAAAAGAAAACTGATTCATACTGACAATGACAAAGTTTCATAAAAGATTACTCAAATTTATATTTTCAATTGAAGGGCAGTGTGTATATATTTATTGTAGGTTAAATTGTTTACCTGCATATATTAACTTTATTTATCATACCTGCTAAACTTTTCAGAATTAAGAAAAAGATGGTCATTATTCAAATTCTCTTCTGTTACACAAAAGTGAGCATTTGAACCATAAAAAATACAACCCTAGCTATGAATGAAATGACTCCATTGTAAACCTCAACCAGCAAAAAAAGATCTTAATTTTTGTAGAACAATTCATTTGATACACCTCTTTTTTCATTTGATACACCTCTTTTTGCAGTTTTTTCATAAAAATAAAATACCGACTTGCTTGCAAATGTTAAGCATCCCAGCTATACTTGGTTTTAAATATATAATCTTGCTAAGTTCAGACCCTAATTATAAGGACTATATATATATATATATATATATATATATATATATATATATATATATATATATATATATATATATATATATATATATATATATATATATATATATATATATATATATATATATATAGACCTTGTTAAGGAGCGTTTCCCGATTAGAGTTTTATTCACGATTTTAGCAACATTTCGCAATTTACAGTACGCAAAAACTTTTTTAAATAAGTTTATTTTAAACAGTCATTTAAAACAGATTAAGCGGAAAACATTAAACTGTAATTAATTGTAAAAAAACGTTTGTAGAACTTTTTTTTTTTAAATAGATATAAGAAAATAGTTTAAATTATTTTTTTCTACTTTCTGTTTTTAAATTATATTTATTTTTACTATATTTAAATTAAATTAATTATAAAAATATAAAATATAATATAATAATAAAATATAAAATAAAATATTAAAAAAATATATAAAAAAATTTAAATTTAACTAATTTTTTTTATATAATAAAAATGCTTTGTCTTACATTTTTTTTACTGTTAAAATTTCCAAACTTAAGGAAAAGAAAGTTACTTTTTATAAATTTATTTTATATTAGTTTTTTATGATTGTTTTACATATAACTATTTTGTTTAGCAAAAGTTTCAAATCAATAAGTTTTTTTTCATACTGTTAAAAAAGTGCTAATATACAAAAGTGTTTCTTTTAACTGTATATTAATGCATTGCCATATAAACCATAATCAAGTCTGTATGAAAAAGTTATTTTAGATAATTTCTTTAGTTAACTTTATAAACAAATTTATGAAAAATAATTTTTATTTTTAGTTTTGAAATTGTTTTTTAGCAAAAGTTTTTCCACTACCATTAATTTTTTAGATTGACCGTCGATTAGAAATGAATAACTAGTTTATGAGTAGTTGAAGATTTTGTTCAAGTCAAAATGTTATAAAATAAATTTTTAATAATTTGTTTATTATTATTTTTAAACCACTTGTACAATTTTCAGTACGGTTATTATTATTTTTAAACCACTAATATTCGTACAAACGCTCAGATGGGGGAGACCTTAGCGCTTATATTTTTTGGACCACGTATATCACCAAGTAATACTTTTCTTTTAATTTCGTTTACTTGTATTCGCTTTTGAAGATGGTTTAAGTACTAAGGACCTTTACTTTTCATAATTTCTTTTTTTTTGGCTAATAACAATAATTATTTTTACAATGTATTACTTGGATTAATATCTGTTAAATACAAATAATATTCAAAACATAATAGTTGTGAGAGTCTTATAAAAGATTTTTGCTATTTTAGTTGCAGTAAGTTTTGTTTTTTGTAGCAAAAATTTCTTGATCTGCTAAATTTGAGTTAATTCGCCCATAGGTATTAATAAATGAGCTAGTAAAATGTGTAAGAGAACAACTTCTAAGAAAAATAGTAAATAACATTTAGCGTAAGTGTTTTTCTTATTTATAAACATTTCTTCCATGCAATTCAATGCTTTTATTCATGTTTCTTTGATTATCAGGAAATTTTACATTGCTTACTACTAACAAGTAACTTTTTACTGGCACTACTGGCATTTTACTGTCAGACACGAGAAATTCGATGTGTCACATTAGTCAAGAAATAATTTACACGTGTTTGTTTTTGTTAAATTTGCTTCTTAGATTTAAACTATAGAGGATAACGGCAATGTGTTCATAATAAGGCGCAATACTTTTCTGCTAAATGATAGTTATTTGTATTTCCTTACAGCTTTTTCATTTTTTTTATAAGGGGTCATAAATTTACTACGGTATTCAACAAATTTAGTATTCAACTTTTAAAAACTACTCTTTAAAATAAATAAAATATCAAACGGATAACATTTCAAAAAAAAATAGAATTACTTTAAAGGGACTACCAAGTCCCAAGACATGTTGTGTTCATATTAAAAAGAATGTTAAAAAAAAAGGTCTGAGCAAATTTTTTTTGATTAAAACTAATTAATAAATGTATACCAAGAAAAACAAATCTTGTTGTTTAGTCGAAGCTCGTCTTCTCCGTTTTCTCTGGTATTTTGAGTATGTAAAATAAACACGATTTTCCAGGCGCATTACACAGACTTGATAAATTATTCAAGCGCGTTTAATTCATAGGAGTTTTAGTGTATGACGTCATTGGAAACATTCTAAAAATTCTTTAAAAATTTTACAATTAAATTTTACTAAAATAGCTAACTATAGTTACTTATTTTGTTTTTTAAAATCTTCACATTAAAAAATATTTTTTTTATAATCCAATAAAATAACACGCTGTGTCTCATCGGTTACGCCCCAAACGGGGGAGGGGGGCAATAACTTTAGGTGTTCTTTTTTTAAAATTTAAGATTAGTTTTAAGAATAATTTTACCAAATTTAATTTTTTTTTTTCGTTATGCCTAACATTCAAAGTTTTTTTAAATAATGAGACTCTTATGACATGTTTTATAGGGAGGGAATCTCCGACCCTCTTTCCATTGCACTGGTAGCTATAATTTAGATTTTATCAATGTTAATGTTTTTATATGATATATAATACTTATAAAAATACTGATAAAAAGTTGTTTTATATTGTTTTGTAAATTTTTATTAGAAACTTTTATTTCGGAACTTTTCTTATGGTATTATCTATGGCCGTCACCACCGGTGTTGACGGCCTCCCAACTTTTTTTTAGGATAACTATATTTTTCTTGAAATGTAAGATTTTTTTTTTAAATCGGGGAGTGAGCCTCTTTGAAACTTTCCCCACTTTAAAGGCCGTGTTGACGGTCATGTTATCACTTTAACTGAAGTTTAACTTGCGTGTCTGAATATATTTAATTAAATTTGTTTTGTAAAACTTGTAGTATATTTTTGATTTTAAAAATTGGAATGAATATTTTTGAAGATTGCAAGAAAATGTTATTATTGAGTTGATGATTCGACAAATAGAATAAATACAAGTCAATCTTTTATTTGTTATTCACGATGTTGTTTTTTAATTTGAATGCAAATTCGACATAAATTCAAAAATACTCAATATAATGCATTTTTTAAACGTGAACTGTGACCGCATTCACTATGTGGACCATCTGTCTTGAATTTTAACCAAGTTATATTTATTATTACATTGAATAAAAAACAGCTGTGTGTAATTTACGTTAAATGTAAATTTTATAAATAGTTACAAAAATATTTATTTTATTAATTGTTCGTTGTTTTTTACAAATCTAACGAACAATTAATTAAACCAAGCACTAAGAAAAGATATAAAAATTAAGAATATACTAATAAAATATATAATTTGTAATTAACTTTCAAAATTTTGACAATTTAAAAAATATATATTATAAAACATTTATTTTTGTAAACAAATGATAATAGTTTAAAAGTTTTACGGCTTTACAGATGTGGCTCCGAGAATGAGCCATAATATTAAAGTAATAGTTCATTTGATAATATATTCTTAAAAAAATTTATGCTAAATATCTCAAAACGCAACAAATCGTAAATAATACAATTCCTAAAACATTTCAACAGAATACTCTAGAACTTTATTTCGTTTAGTCAGCGTGTTTTTTGAACCAATAGAATTAAATTGTTAGCAAATTTGGCGGGTTTTTAGTGTTCGCGAATATTCTTTTTATTCTTCCGCAAGATGTTTTAAGTTAATTATGTTTCCATGCATGTCTGTAAAATAAAAATTAATATATATTAATTTTTTAATTTTTAAGTTCCCGCCATAATATATATTGGATGTTATAATGGAAACATAAATAATGAAATAAGATCACCTCAATACCAAAAAATACATTTTAGAAAATCAGAGAAAAAATGCGTTAATAATTTTTTTTTTTAATATTTACAAAGTAAATTAATAAAAGTGCATTATTATTTACGTTAAAAATTATTTAATCTAATATTTTGAAAGAAAAACTTATAAGAAAAGAAATCAAAATACACGTAGTCTAGACGATTATTTAAAAAAAGTTGCTCAAATAAAATACTATTTTGTTTTTTATTTTATTTTTGTTTTTAATTTTATTTTGTTTTTAATTTTATTTTGTTTTACAAACACATTTTAGAACTTTAAAATACAATAAAAATTAATATGATTTGGAAATTGTATGTAAAAAAAAACAATATGTGTTTTAAACAAACAAAAAAAAAATCTATGACGTCATGCACTAAAACTTCTATGAATTATATAGTGTTTCTCGACATTTACTAAGTATTGCCCACAGAAATGCTATTCGATTGGCTAATGAAGACCGAAATGAAAACACAGAAGCAAAAGCAAACAACAACGACCAACAGCAAGCCTTCCCAAGAAAAGCAGGCAGTTTTTCGTCTCGTACAACCACAAAAACGTTTTTCAAGTTAGAGAATGTGATCACAGCCGTTTGCGCAAAATTTAATTTTATGTGTTACTGAAAAATTGTTTCAAATTTAATAACTACATAAGAAATTGAAGTAAACTTAAATAGAAAACAATAATAATAGCTAAATTATTTGTGTGTTGTTTTTATTTTTGTTTTTTCTTAGTGGTTATTATTATCGGCAACAAAATTCATTAAGCCAAAGTTTTAGGCGTTAAAAAGGATGACTTTCCCATATTTTATGTGTTTTTTCTTTTAAATAGGATAGAGAAAACATGTATCGTAATCTGTTTGTAAAATATATTTGTATATTATAATGTAACAAGTTTATATCAAGAGTTAAATTATACGATCGTGATTTGTAAACTCTGGTAAAATATTAGGTCTTTAAAATTTTAGTTCATGCAAAGCTGTGTACTTCATTTATAAGGAGTAAAGTATTAAAAGCTTGCTAGCGAGAAAGTCACAAAAAACAAAATAAAAACAATAAACTTACGACTACTAAAGTAATAACACTTTAGTCACTAACTGCATTATAAAAGTAATAAAACTATAATAGTGTTATTACATTTATAAAGCACTTTTAAAGTTCATTCTTTTAAAAAGTATAGCATTATAAAAAACGTTATGTAAAAAAGGGGGGTTAATTTTAAAATCGACTAATAAAAAATTTTTATTGGTTAATTTTAAAATTAACGCCCGTTTTTACAGTCCATTAGTAACGTTTTTCATAATGCTAAACTTTTAATAAAATACGTTTTCATAAAGTTGTTTGTCACATTTTTATAAGTTAATTTAGTTTTAATATTATTTGAACATCCACTTTATTCTTCTAGATATTTTTCTACCTCAATTAAAATTTGGGAATATTAATTTTGCTTGATCATAGAATGAATTTTAAAAGTTATAAGTGCTTTATAAAAGTAATAACACTATTATAGTGTCATTACTTTTGTAATGCAGTTAGTGACTAGAGTGTTATTACTTTTGTAATTGTAAGTTTATTTATTTTTTTTTTTTTTGCTAACAAATTTTAGTTGATTCTCCCCTTAAAAACAGAGAACATCGTTTTGTATAAACTAAAATTTTGAATACTAGATATTTTTCCAGATTTTGCGTTTTGCATTCAACCCTTGTTGTTACATTAAAATTAAATAAATATTACAAATAAATATTACAAATACATTGCAATTTGTATTTTTGCTATCCTCTTAAAAAAAATTAAGAAAAGGAAAATCATTCTTTTTATTGTAGAATTTAAACTGTTTTTTTTTTGCTTCCCTTTTATCTAATTTTGTTGCTGAATGTAACTCTAAAGAAATAAAAATAAAAACAGTACACAAATTATTTAAATTATTCATTTTTTTTTATATTTTTCTATTTCAATCTCTTTTTATTTTGTTAGTTTTGTTTTTTTGTTTTTGAAACATTTTCAGCATTATTATAAAACTTGCAAAAGGCCGTGTTCACGTTTTCAAAAATATCATAATCGTGTGTGGTCATGCGAGACGAAAACAAGCCTTTCCTGGGAAGGCTTGAACAGGTTAATAATTTTTTTTATGTTTTAAAATACTAACTCCAAAATTGTTAAAAATTGGAGTTTATTCGCTACGTGTAACACATAAGAAATTGTTTAGTAAAATAAATTCATTCTTAAACGCAAAGTCTATAAATTTGTTACACAAAGTTGTCTTTTGAAACACTGTTAATACCATTTTTGTAATCGTGTGTAAAATTAGGTAACTAGGTATTTTTGTTTGTTGCGCAATAAAAATGAAAAATAAAAATAAAACCTTATTTCATAAAGCAACACTTCCGAGGTTCATCAACACAGCTGATTTAAGTGAGCTTCTTACAGCTTCTTGTTTTTTTAAACACTTTTTTTTTTTTTTAAATTTTAATTCACCTCCTCAAGGCCAAGAAGACCACTACAGATGAGGAGGCTACTTATTTGTGGTTATAACCCTCTCTCAACTCTATAACTCCGAAACACGAACCTTGATGAACAAGGCCGCTGTGCGGAGAAACGAGTTGAGCGCGGTACTACCAGGGACGTGGTGGGAATTAAAAAAGGATAAAAGTTGTAATAAGACTTTTTTTTTTTATTTGCATTCACTCCCAACAAGGCTGCAAGCAACCACTATTAAGTTGGGAGTTACTAGGAAAAAAAAGAACAGAGTTATAGAGCAAGGAAACGGTTGACAGAAGACTTGAAAAGTTGAAGGTTATATGAGTCAGGAAAACATGAAGATGGGACAGAGTTCCAAAGGATTGAAGTGCGGTGAAAAAAACTAGATGAATAAAAGTTTTTAGAGCATGCAGGGACAGATACAGTAAACGAATGAGACTTAGCTGAATGACGAGTAAAACGAGAATGAATTTTAGTTGATGGAACTAGAGATGATAACTCCTTTGAGAAATGATCATGATAGTATCTGTAGAAAAGAGAAAGAGATGCAACTTTACGACAATGGGAAAGAGGTTCAAGCTTAGCAGATAGTCCAGGTCCAACAATATTTACAATGCGTTTTTGGACCTTGTCAAGAAGAGAAAGTGAATTGTTAGAAGAACCAGCCCAAATATGACAACAGTATTCCATACAGGGACGAATAAGAGATTTGTAGAGGTAGAGAATGGAATCAGAAGTAAGGAAATGGCGAGCACGATAAAGAGAAGCAACCTTAGCAGAAGCTAATTTAGCAATCGATTGTATATATGGTTTCCATGAAAGGTCAGTAGTAAGCGATAATCCAAGAAGACGTAAAGAGGAGGACTCAGTAGGAGGATTGCCATTCATTAATATAGGAATGTTGACCATATTACGGTAGTTGTTTGCAGTAAGCAATTGGGTTTTTTTAAAGTTGAAATTCACAAGCCACTGTGAACCCCAATCTATTACTGAAGTGAGATCAGATTCAAGATCAGCTGCTTGTTCTAGGCGATCGAAAAGAGAAGACTTTTTGTCAAGACAGGAGTATAAAGTTAAGTCATCAGCAAAAAGAGCTACTTTAGATGAAAGGTTGTCAGGAAGATCGTTTATGTAGATAAGAAACAAAACAGGGCCCAGGATGGAACCTTAAAGAACCCCAGAAGTTACTGGAAATAAAGAAGAGTGTTGGCCTTCAAGGATGACTTTAATAAACCGGTTAGAAAGAAATGATTTGATAATCTCAAAAACTTTCCCAGAAACACCATATGAAGCAAGCTTATGGAGAAGACCAGCATGCCAAACTTTGTCGAAAGCTTTAGATATGTCGAGAGCAATAGCCCTAGCCTCACCGCCTCCATCTAATGCACGATAAAATCTTTCAGTTACAGCAGTTAGCAAGTCGGCCGTAGAGCGAGAGGATCGAAAACCGTATTGATTGTCTGACAGTAGTTTATTTGACTCAAGATGAGATGTGAGGAATTTGTTGATCAAAGACTCAAAGACCTTGCTAATAACAGAAAGAAGACTGATCGGACGATAATTGGAGGGGTCTTATTACAACTTTTGTATTTTTTGACATATTAAAGATTTTGTTTTGTAAAAATAATATAAAAAACAATAAAACATTTTATCTAATGAAATTAAATGAATATATTCTTTCTTAAATTTCAGATTAAACGCGGCAAATAATGAAATTTTCGTATTTCGTTGTCACTTTTTATCAGCGTAAAAAATTTGAAAAAATATATTTCAGATATTTATTATTAAATATAGACTTTTTTTTTCTTTTTTTTTTTAACCTTTTTATACTTATTCGGAAGTTGATTTTATTCGAAAAAAATGTAGAAAAAGGGTTGAAATCTTGAATTTTGTTGTTATGTTGCATAACTGCAAGTCCTAGAGTAATTCTAGGATGGGGTTATCAAGGTAAGCTGCTGTTTTTCTTTATTTAGGCATTTTCCTTCAAAGTATTTAAAATATTTCAGTTACAAAAAAGAATTTCAAAAGTTCAAAAAACATAGTTTCAAGACTAATAAAAATATATATAAAAAGCAATAACATACCTGCTCAAGTTGAACTGGACATTTTAAATAAACATTGTCATAAAGTTCTTTTGCTGGCAATAATTCTAACTCCTAATAAAAACAAGATAATATTTATCTTTTTAAAAATAATTTGAAATTAAAAAAAAAAAAAAAAAACTCTCACTGTATGAAACTCTGCAAGTCGATTTTGTGCCAGGAATCTCATCAGATTTAGTCCAAGTAACTGATACATGTAGGGTGACTGGGGTACGATTCCACTAAAAATATAATCATATATAAATATATCTGTATATTCATAGTCTTTAACATTACCTATTTAGTAAAATGTATACACGAAAAAAAAAAGTGAAAGTAGAAAAATTACTAAAAAAAAGTATTTGGTTGCTTCAATGTAACGTCAGGTTTACATCTACTAAAGTCTTTTTCTTGAAGGCCTTCTACAAGAAAGTAGCTGGATGCAGTTAATATCTGCCCAAGATGAATATTTTTATTGAGACACCTTCTCTAGCCTTTACTCAAGTAAGATCCGAGACGGGATTTTTAAGTCAAAGTGTGCTTCTCCTACCCTTTACCTTAAAAGTACATCCTACAAGGCAGCAGAGCATGGGACAGGTAGTACTGGGCTACATGATACCAGTAGCAGGGTGATCGTCATGATCCTGAACCTGAACTGACCTGGAATAATTAAAAGGAGCTACTTCCTGCAAGCAGTATATCAAAACATTAGGCATGATGTTTTGGAAATGCATTAGGAAAAATATTACATCTAAAAAAATACTAGAGAATAAGGTGAGCGTTGGTTTATAGTTAGAGTAACTAATTAGTTAATGAGCTCACACTGCATCAAAACAGATTTAAACATTTAAACACAATATTATATTTGCAAAGAAGATTTTTTATAGAAAATTTTCTATTTTATGAAAGTTTCAATATATAAAAATTCCAAAATTAATAAATGTCCCCTCTGTAAATTAAGTGCCTAAAATTATGTAAGAAAAGTAACATAATGTAATATTATATTATGATTTATAATATTCAGCATCTTATAACTAGGACTAAAACAGGCTCATTCATAAATTAATTAAATAGATCGGGACCGCTTTTATTTGCACTAACGATCAGAACTTGGTATAAAATTAGTTAAAAATAACAAAATATGAAACTTTGGTTCCTTTAAAAAATCCTCTCATATCCCCCCCCCCCTTCTCCAAAAATTTTATTTATTTATTTATTACTATGACTTGTGAGCCACTCATTTGCAACATTATTACGTTTCATAAAAAAAGTATGGATATGTGCTTACATCAACTAAGGATATAAGTTTGGAAAGACAAAAAAGTTTTTCATTATTTTCAGTATTTCTTTTCTTTTTTATTTGTTAAAATTTAAGGTTGTCAACTCTCAAAATTACTATATAAAGCAGACTTTTATTTACCTAAAATCAAAATAATAGCATTTTAATTGTGACATATAACGTTCAAATGAAGGTATATCTTTTTTTGCTATGCTCCAATGCACTCCGATTTCTAATACATCTCCTAAAAAAAAAAGATTCAAAAATATTATTCATTACACTTGATTATTTAAATATTATTTAACAATTAAAATTAAAAAAAAGGAACAATGTTTTTTGAAAACTGACGTGCTAAAATCAACTCTTGGTGCGATGGTACTACTCCTGTAGGCATAAATTGCAGCTCAGTCAAAGCAAGCTAAAAATATATAAATTGCATTTCAAACAAAGCAACCAGTCTTGATTAAAAAACTTTTAAATAATTTTAAATTTAAATATCAAAACATAATCAATTGTTGTTAAATTGCTATAAAACATTTTTTCAACAACGACTCTAAAAAAAAGAATACAAAAGTTGTATTAAATTTTTATACAACTTTTGTATATTTTTTTAATTATTAAATTTTATTTAATTTTATTAGTTTATTTAATTAAGCTTGATATTTCATAACAATTTTGTTTTCTTTTTTTAGGATTGTTTTATTTTTTCTTAGTTGATAAGTTTAGCTTTTTGTCGCAAATTATTGAAACACTTTATAAGTTAAAAAGATGAAAACTACTGTGGTTAGTTTGTCTAAAAAAAATACTTTAAATGTGGACGAACAAGGTGTGCTAACGCTACTTGGAAGGCTAGTGTAATTGTGTAAAACATTTAAAAAACTCTGCAATAAGTACATTTAATATTCAAACCAGATTTTTTTATAACGAAAAAAACTATGCAGATTCATGGAGTTAAAATCAACCTTTCAATCAGAAGTATAATGGCAAAATAACAAATGTTTTTTGTTAATATCTAAGTAAATAATTTTTTTTGGTAATTTTAATAAACTTGAAACTTATTTTTCAATATTTATTTACAAAATAAACATAATTTGTCTTAGCACTTGAGAATCCCTTTTAAAAAAATGTTGTATTTGACCAAATTTAATTTTAGATTGCTCTATTTAAAGAATTATTTTAGAAAAATTTTTAAATCTATTTTAGATTGATTTTTTAATAAAATGATGGAATAATTTATAAATATTATTTTGTTTAGCGTTTCTTCCTATTTTCATATATAAAAGTTGAATTTAAAAAAAAAATTAATCTGAAAAAAATATTTAATATTTTTTGAATTTTATTTTTTATATGAAAAGTTAAAAAATGAATCTGAAATAATTGAAATTAAATGATATAACTGAAATAGTCCCTAGCCAGAGAACATTTTTAACTTAAAAACACCAACAAAAATGTTGCGTCTTTAAGTTAAATAAAGTTTATAAAATATAAGTCTCTCCATCATACATTATTGTAGATTATTATAAGCAAAATGAAAGTAAAAACTTTTTTTTTCCTATAAAAAGGGAGAAGTACTTTTGACAAATGTATTTTTTGTTTCTGATTAAATCAATATCTTGTTCTATTGACATCATACATTTAAGAACATAAATTATGTTTACTAAATATCTTATTCCCAATAAGATATTAGTAAATGAGAAGAAAAATTTATAGATAGACTTTATCAATACCAATAGTGCTACCAATAGTGCTACTGGTAACTGATAAAATCTAAAAATTGTTTAAAATCTTTATTAAAAATACTACATTAAATATGTAAAAATTAAAATAAATAAATAAATTGTGATAAACAAACAAAAGATTATGTTAATTATAATTATAAGAAAATATAATCTTTTTCAAATACCAAATTTAGATTCAATTAATAATTTTTTTTAAATTTTAAATATTTTTTAAAAATTAAAGTTTAAATAATTTTTAGCGCAGTTTAAAATGAAATTTAACTACAACGCGATACTTTCAAATACTTTAAAAATATCAATAGTTTATACGCTCCAGTAACAAATAAGATCTTAATAACTACAACGCATTAAAAGGTTTTAAAGTATTTGTAAATTGCTTTTTTATACTTGTCAATATTATATTGTTTTGAAAAAGAGGCATAATTTTTTGATGAAATAAGCACTCAATTCAAGTGAAAAACCTAATGGCGTATAGACATGTCCTTTATCTGAAAGAAGAAAAGTTAATGTTTATCAAAATTTACAATATTTCTTTTATTTATGCAAATTATTTCTAGTCTTCACTTAGCCTTATAATGAGAAATGAAAAGAATATGCAAGAAATTCATTGAATGCAAAAAATTTTATAAAAAATATTTATAAAATTTAAGTTGGCGGGCAACCAAAACTAACAAAATGGTTACTTTCAGTTGCCCTTCTAGCAATTAATTTTAAATACATAAAAATAAGTTTATATTAAAGTTACAAATATATATTGTATAATAAATTAAAAGTAATTAACTAAATAAAAATATTTATTTGTAAAACTGAAAAAGTTTAATTTTTGAATTTAATTTTGAATTTAATAATGTGTCACTAAAGTGTTTTTGTACACAAAACAAAACAAAACTAAACAAAACTTGTTAAAAAAACAAGATTATAAAGAATTAATAAATCTTTAATATTTTGTTGAGCATCTTTTGGCATTTACACAAACTTTAAATCTTAAAAATGAAACTAATTTGTTGGTATAAGAAGAGGGAATTTTATTCCATTCCAATAAGGTATTTTTTTAGCATATTGACATTTGTTATTCTATGTTTCCTGACTTGTTTGTTTAAATAATCCCACACCTGCTCTATTTGGAAGGAGAACAGAGTTGTTTTGCAACATTATAGAGCAACTATGACTTTACAAAATGAGCAGTTTGTATCTTGATCCTGTTGAAATATCCAATATTTCCCTAACTTTAATTTAGCAGCATCTGATTTTGTCTAAATATACCCAGTCTATGGGTACTACTACTAATGTCTAAATATACCCAGTGATCCGCTTTAGGCTGAATAAATACTAAACTCTCCACTCCCACTCTCCACAAACCACCACACTAAGGCATACAAAAACAAGCGTTTGTATGACCACGCAAATAATATTCTGTTTTGAGGATTTGACCACGGTTTTTAACATTTTTAAAAATGCAATGAAAAAAATGGTTTTTAATTATGTTAAAATTAAATAATTTCGACACATTTTTCTTTACTAACATTTTTATATTATCAAAACGATAATGATATCTAATGGTTTTAATTCAAGATGTTGAATTAAAATCATTAGATAATCAAGGGTTGAATTAAGCAATCGCGAAACACAAAATCTGGAAAAATATCTGTTATTCAAAATTTTAGCTTATGCAAAACCGTGGTTTTTGGTTTCAATGAGCAAATCGACTTAAACTTGTAAGCGAAAAATTTTTAAAAAATAAAACAATAAACTTTTGACTACAATAGTAATAACACTCTAGTCACTAACTGCATTAAAAAAGTAATAAAACTATAATAGTGTTATTACTTTTATAAAGCACTTATAACTTTGAAAGTTCATTTTTGTTCAAACAACATTAGTAATTCTAAACATTAATTAAAGAAGAAAGGCATCTAGAAAAAATAAAGTGGATATTCAAATATTATTAAAAACTTCAGGAACTTTTACATATAAACTTATACAAATTTATAAAAACGTACTTAAAAAGTTTAGCATAATGAAAAACGTTACTAATAGTCCAACGCGCATTAATTTTAAAATCAACTAATAAAAATGTTTTATTTAAGTTTTACATATTATTTGAATATCCACTCAATTTTTTGTAGATGCTTTTCTACTTCAATTAAAATTTGGGATTATTTATGTTGTTTGAACAAAGAATAAATTATAAAAGTTATAAGTGCGTTATAAAAGTAATAACACTATTATAGTGTTATTACTTTTATAATGCAGTTAGTGACTAGAGTGTTATTACTTTTGTAGTCGTAAGTTTATTGTTTTATTAGTAAAAACTTTGATTCACCCCTTAAAAACAAAGAACATGGTTTGCATTAACTAAAATTTTGAAGACCAGATATTTTTCCAGATTTGCGTTTCATATTTATCTTCAATAAATGTTAAATAAAGACGGTATTTTGTTTATTTGGCCTTGTGCAATCAATGTATGCAGCGCTAAAGTAAAGTAAAAGAAGAAAGAATATAAGTAAAGGACCTCATACATTCCTATAATTTTTGAAATTTTTTGACTAATTCCACTTTCATCAAAATGCTGCATCAAATTTATTCCTAGTTAACACCCTGTATATATATGTATGTATATATATATATATATATATATATATATATATATATATATATATATATATATATATATATATATATATATATATATATATATATATATATATATATATATATATATATATATATATATAATTTATTTTACTTCACCTCCTCAAGGTCGAGAAAGCCACTACAGATGAGGAGGCTACTTATTTTGTGGCTATAACCCTCTCTCAACTCTATAACTCCGAAACACGAACCTTGACAAACAAGGCCGCTGCGCGGAGAAACGAATTGATATATATATATATATATATATATATATATATATATATATATACACACATATATATATATATATATATATATATATATATATATATATATATATATATATATATATATATATATATATATACACACACACAGTCTTTCACAGGAAGATGTGCTATCGCACGTCATTATATGACCAGGCAAATCACATTTTGCTTTGACGATTTGACCGTAGCTATTTTAAAAAACATTTTGAAAACCTGCTGAATGAAAAATATTTTGAACTATACCTTAAGTGAAATTAATTACATCAAAACTTCTTAAAAAACATTTATATATTAGCGAAATGTTTTTAAATAAAGTAACAACTTACTGATAATGATTTTTTTTTAAAGTATAACTGACAGTTGTATATATTTTTTAAATTAAATCATATAAATTGTATAAGTTTGCATTTTTTATAATAAACATTATTAAACCATAAAAAAACTGTTATGTTTTTATAAACGATGGCATTCTACGACAATGAAAGTCTCTTTAACAAATTTCAATATAAGAATAATTAAAGTTAATATATTTAAAAAGATAAAGAAAATTTTGCTGAAAAAAAAAAGATAAATGTTTTAGAAAGCGGTTACAATTAAATAAGTTTGATCTTAAATGCTTTTATATTATCGAAACACTTTTTAATGGAGTACCAAAACACTTCTAATGAATTTTTATAATAAGTATTAATAAACTGTTGTTTTTTTTTACTTATATAATTATGTATTTTTTATGATTAAAAAAAAATACAAATGTTAAAACAAAGAATGGTTTTTTAATGCATAAATCAAATAAACTAAGCATTTTAATTTGATGAGTTTTGTTTTAGCTGTGTTATATACATACATACATACATGCATACATACATACATACATACATACATACATACATACATACATACATACATACATACATACATACATACATACATACATATATATATATATATATATATATATATATATATATATATATATATATATATATATATATATGCAAGAGTATATATATATATATATATATATATATATATATATATATATATATATATATATATATATACTCTTGCATGGCAGTTAAAAAGAGTTTCCCATAAATTGTAGTTTTAAAGAGCGCGTTAATAAACCAGACCAGAAAAAGTTTAAAAACTTAATTTTTTTTTTTTTTAATGATATACTGTCTGCCCAAACCAAACACTCAGTCGATGTAGCAGCACTACCTTGCGAGTCAGGCTATTTGTCAGTCGATGTAGCAGCACTCCCTTGCAAGTCAGGCTATTTGTTAGTCGATGTAGCAGCACTCCGTTGCGAGTCAGGCTATAAGATAGTCGATGTAGAAACACTCCCTTGTAGCAGCAGGCTATAAGATAGTCGATGTAGCAACATTTACGCATGTTTTAAAAATGTTTTTTAATAAAACAAAAACAAAAACACCACTAATTAAAAAAAACTTTCTAGTTGTTATAATTGCGGTTTTTTAAAAAATTTTTAAAAAACAATAAAATTTAATGTACTTCCGCATTAATTTAATTGCTTTGACATTTCGACGACAATCAAGAACAGCTTAAGAGACGAGGTAATTAAAATTGTAGTCGAAAGAGACTTTTTTTACATTTAAAGACTCTTTCGACTACACTATAAGGATATATATATATATATATATATATATATATATATATATATATATATATATATATATATATATTTTTTTTTTAGATAAGTAGTTTTTTTTAGGTAAGTTTTTGTAGCACATTTTTAAATTTGGAAAATATGTCATAAGCTGTGGTCAAATCGCCTTACAAAGCATTTTTTGCATAGTTATTAATTGCATGTGATTGCATATCTTCCTGTGAAACACTGATCTCTTTGGCAATATCTTTGGCAAAGCTATCATTTTTTAAGGGATCTCTTTGGCAAAGATATCATTTTTAAAGGATCTCTTCGGCAAAGATATCATTTTTTATGGGATTTCTTTGGCAACAAAAGTTACAATATGTAGCATAACTTAAAAGTGTTATGGGGGATAGTGTCTTTTGAATACTTTTTATTTTTAAAGGATTGTTTATAGTTGGAAAATTTTTTTTTCCATTCACCCTCTGTTAAGCCAATATATTGTTTATCAGGTACATTCTTAAAAGAAACAACACATTTATATATCACACTTTTTAATAAACATTTTCCACTCATTATTTTTTTGTTTAAAATTACAGTTTTCGGTTGTTTTTTCATTTGGGATTTCCTTTTTATTTAGCAAAGCATTAATAAGACCTTTTACAATTCTTTCCATATTTTTTGTACAACTGTAGCTAGCTTTAATTGTATTTTGATTTAAAATTTCATGTAATCTATTAGAGGGAAGGAAGTGTTTGACCAATTTTATAATAAATTGCAAAAGTATTAAAAGGCAAAAATAGTTAATTTTAAAGTATTCTTTTTATAATAGTGTCAGCATATTCCACAGATGTGTGAAAATTTACAGTACCTAAGACATTTATGACTTTCTGTAATTTAATTTTTTGTATAAATTAAAGTTTTATTAAGTTGAACATTTTATTTTTGATCTTAATTGATAAAACACAGTGTAAAATGAAAAAAGTTTGACTAGTGACTTTCTATATATAAATTTATATATATATATATTTATATATATATATATATATATATATATATATATATATATATATATATATATATATATATATATATATATATATATATATATATATATATATATATATATTAAATGTTTAAAATTTTAAAATGTATTCTACAAAATAGAGTGCTCAATGTTTTTAAAAGAACAGAGCAATTATAAATTAGTAGAAAATCACTTGACAAAAATTAAAAAAATTTTTATTAAGTGATTTTTTACTACTATACATATATATATATATATATATATATATATATATATATATATATATATATATATATATATATATATATATATATATATATATATATATATACATGGTGGCCACAAAATTTTAAAAGTTAAATTCCAGGACATTTCCAGGATATTCCAGGACATTTTGTTGCGTTTTCCAGGACATTTTATATCTTATTAAATGAATATTATCAATTATCTTTACGGTATATTTTTTTCATATTGATTGAATTATAGAATAGAATTTTATATTATTATATTATATAATTATTACTCTCTTATTTAAAATTAAATTCAAACCATTTATATAAAAAAAAATTTCGCATAAAAAATTTAATATTACTTCAATATTCTTAGTAATTTTTTAACTTGACTCAGAAAAAAATAAGTTTCCGGACATTTCAGGACATTTTTGAAAAAAAATGTAATTTTCCAGGACAATTTAGGACATTCCAGGACACTTGCAAAAATTCAGGACATTCCAGGACATTCCAGGACTGTGGCCACATATATATATATATATATATATATATATATATATATATATATATATATATATATATATATATATATATATATATATATATATATATATATATATATACATATATATATATATATATATATATATATATATATATATATATATATATATATATATATATATATATATATATATATATATATATATATATATATATATATATAAATGTTCATACATATATGGAATATTTATTTGCTATTTATCATGTGTCAAATAAATATAAAAATCAATGTCATTAATAACATACAAAAATATTTTCTGTGTGTTATTAATGACATACATAAAATTAATTTTTTTAAATATAAATTAAATTATTTTTACCTTCATACTTGTTAAAAGTTTACCAACTTTGTCAAGATTTACAGGCTTTTCTGCCCATTCTTTTATTAAACTCTGGTACATTGGTAGGACAGGACCTATAGTTGTCATTTATAACTTTTCTAAAAATATAAAAAGTAGTATTTTTCGCTATAATAATATAGCATAAATAAACTATTTTTGATCAAAATTATTGTTATTTCCGTTCAACTATAAAATTACAAACCATGTAAATATTGGAGTGTTAGCAGAAGTATAATGAGCTAGAAAAAGTTTATTTGAATTATGTAAGAGCTTTTTTCTATGCTTTAAATACAAATATCTTCTTACAGACTCAAGACAAACATATTTTCAGGGTTAATACGCACATATATGTATGTATTTATGTATGTATGTATGTATATATGTATGTATGTATGTATGTATGTATGTATGTATGTATGTACGTACGTACGTACGTACGTACGTACGTACGTATGTATGTATGTATGTATGTATGTATGTATGTATGTATGTATGTATGTATGTGTGAAAATAAGTATATGTATAAATGCATTCTTTACTTGAAAATATTTGTGTTAACAACAAATTTGTTAAGTTATATTTGTTGTTAAATGGTCTGGTCGTATCAGTAAAAGAATTTTAAAAACAAACTTATACTTGCTGCACTCAATAAAAAAATCAAGAAATGGAATCCTGTTTTAAATTTTATAGACAGTTAATACCTGGTACACCTTATATTAGAACTTTGGGCTACAGTATGGAATCAATGTTTAAATATGTACTTTAAAAAATTGGAAAAAAATTAACATAATTTTGTTTGTAACGAAAATTATAATTAGTACCACAATTGAAAAGCATCAACCACCAGCTTCCTAAAATAGGACCAAACATTCAGGAGAAAAACAATTAGTCGATAAATATTATTAGAAATATGCTAAGTTGTTGAAATTAGATAAATGTTATTAGAAATATGCTAAATTGTTGAAATTAGATAAAAATAAAATAAATAGATAAATGTACTGCTTAAACATTTTTAATGCATACTTTTTGTCCTCTCTGGGTCCAACTTAAATTATTCATAAGTGATAAACTTTTTTTCAACAGAGTTATCTATTTTAAAACTTAAAATTTGATTTTAACTTAAAAATTGTGACTGAATTCAAAAAATAAGTACAATAAAATAAATAAGTACAATTGAATAATCAGACATTTTTCAGTCTACTATAGCAGAGAAAGATCTAAACTGTATACTGTATTTAAACTGTATACTTAACTATGTACCTAAATTACTTTTACGGCCGGCAGAAAAATGCTTACGCGATTTTCCGTTTTTAAAATGTTAAATATGTTCCAAACTCGCACTGTTTATCGGGGTCCAGCGTAGCCACTGCCTGGGTTTTTCGTAGGAGAGTGCCGAAAAAATTTTATTTAAATTATTGCGCTGAAGTTAGTTTGTATAAGAATTTTTTGACATTCTCCTCCGTTTTTAAACCCAGCCGGTGGGAACGCTGTTGGGGTCCCTTCGGCAGAAAAACTTCATTTTAGGGATGGCACTTTTACTTACTTTTTTTTACTTACACGAGCAAGTTAATTTTTTTTGGAAAAGTTTATTATGTAAGTTATTATGTCAGGTTGGCCGAGCGGTCTAAGGCGCCAGACTCAAGGTGTAACCTTCCTTATATGTAAGTAATTGTCACCGTTTAAATTGAAATTACATTTACAAAAAAGTAATTTATTTTTATGAAACGACTTTTACTTTATAAAGTATGTTTTTTACTTTCAAAAGTAACTTATGTAAAAACAGATTACATCAAAAAGTAATTTACTTTTACAAGTAAAAGTAAGTCTCTTAAAAAAGTAATTTACTTTTACATATAATATAAATATTAATTACTTTTTCAAATTTCATTACATAATTTAATAGTTCCTCAAAATGTAATTTACATTTACATATAAAAATAATTTATAAAAAAAATATTATATTACCGTAATTGTAAAAAAAAAACTTTTATATGAAAAAGAGTTACATAAAAGTAATAGGCGACCAAATATAAATAAAATTTACTTATAAAATAATATTATATAAATTGTCATTTCTTCTTTATATAATTTATTTTTTAAAATAAAAAATTGTTGTAAAAAATAAATTATATAAAGAAAAAATTCTATTACATAAGCTTATATTTTATATAATTTTTAAAGTAAACTAAAAATAATTTATATTTTATAAGTAAATTTACTTATATTCTAAAATAAATTAGAGAGGATATTGTGCAACCGAGTGAAATGCAAAAAGTACAACTTGCATCAAAGTAACTAACATTTAGTTTTTGGCGACATTTTTTGTGAACGGTTTTGGCTTTTTTTTCCCTTGTAAATTTTGATGTATCAGTAGTTGGTTTATAGGCATCAAAATGCTGCCGATTAAAACCATTCTTACTCCCGGTCCATGACTATATTGGGCAGTACTAGACTATGTGGTGGTGGGTAGGTTTAGGCGGCGGCCATAAAATATTCAAAAGAACCGTTATTTAAAATTCTTAAATCACTTTAGATGTTGTAGCACTCAAAAAAAGGAAGCTACTTTAAAAATAACCCCGGGCAACAAATAATCTTAATCCGGTTATGTTTTTAACTATTAAAACTATTCTTTGAGCTTATATTTTTGGCTTACTACAGCATGCCAAAATATAATAAATATGTATGTTTGAAGAAATTTAATCTGACATATTTCGTGTCATGTATGGTATAATATCAGAAGCCATTATTGATAATTTTCTAGAATGCTTCCGTTACAGTTGCTAGATTTTTCCGCTAATTAGATTATTATTAAATTTGCTTCACGAGAGACGCATCAATTTTCAGTGGGATTGAATGTTTGAAGGCTCTGAAAAATAATATGACAAGTAATTAAAAAAATACTTATAAAAAAGAAACGTTGCAATATATATCAAAAACATTAAAATAAACCTAGTGATTCTAAAGTTGTTATAAAAATACAACGGAAACACAAAAAGAGGTTATTAAAAAAGTATTAAAAAAGAAACGGTAAAATAAACTATAGTTTAGTTCATTTAGTAGCCTATAAGCAGCTGTTGCGGTTTTCAAAAGGTCTAGTTTTTTTTTAGGTTTAAATTAGTTTCAAAAGGGTGAAAACCTATTTTTTTCATTTGTTTTAAAAGACTATTTTAAATCGTCTATTGTCATCTACCTTCTTAAAGATCTTTAAGTCAGCGTGGTAATTATTAACAACAACTCTTAACCAAATGAAAACTAACTTTTTTTTAAGAACTATTCATAAAATTTTAGTTTTGAATAGAGTAATAGAAGCATCATTAAAGCAACATAAGCTACTGAAAAGACACCATTGTAGCTACATAAACTACTGATGGCGGACAGTCTACTGCCCATCTTCACGTAAAATTTTAAAGGAAATTCATAAAAAAATAACAAATTATTTTAAAGGCACTATTTTATTCGAATATGTTAAAATATTACTTGTAAGCTGCCTTTATGTAAGCTGCCTTTGCTAATTAGTTACTTTTACACATGTAAGTAATTTATTTTTATGATGTACTTTTATTTTACTTTTTAAAGTTTTATTTTACTTTTTAAAGTGTTACATTTTTCTCGCATTACATTTACATAACGTTATCTCAGAAAAGAACTTTTTTAAATATAAAAAGTAAATTACTTTTCAATGTAAGTTTCGCGAATAAGTAAAATCGAAATTACTTTTCAAAGTAAATTACTTTTTAAGGACTTACCTGAAAAAGTAATTTACTTTTTCAAGAAAAAGTAAACGACTTTTAAAATAATTTATTTTTACTTGTAAAAAAAAATTAGTTTTTCAAGTAACAGTTACGAATTTAAGTAATTAAATTTATGTAATTAAGTTTTACTTGAAATATAATTTATGTAATAAAAAAAATTACTTTTAAATGTAAGTGAATTATATATTTTAGTATGAGTAATGTAAGTAATTTATGCTTAAAAGTAAATCGCGTTTTTATATCAAAATATGTAAAAGTGCCATCCCTACTTCGTTTAGCTAGAACTTTTATTTTGAATTGGATATAAGTGCGTTTAATAACAAAGTTTCCATTTCTTTAAAAATTCCAAACTTTGAACGCTCGAAAACAAGACACCTTGGCGTCAAATTTAATTAAACGTAACAAAAAATTTTCACTGGTATCTTCGATTCAGTTAAGTTTTCTTTCAGTGCCGTAGCAAACCAAAACAAAGCCCAGTGCAAGACTGAAATTTGGCGCCCCCCTCATAAGAAAAGTCAAACTAATTTTAATTTTTATTAAACTTCAATAACAACAATGTTACAATGTTTTTCAAATGTCATTTTAAGTTTACTCTACTGGCCTTCAGTGATGCAAAATCATTTATAACTTCATCATAATTAAGTGAGTTTGTCAGTGTTGATTCAGTTGAGATGATAGACAAGTTTGATAATCTGTCTTGGTCCATTGAAGACCTTAAATAGTTTTTTATTATCTTCAACTTACTAAATCTTTTTTCACAAGATTCAACTGTCACTGGTAGTGTCGAACAGATTTTAATGTTTGGGTAAGCAGCTTTTAAAGAATATTTATGAGTTAGCTGTAAAAGATCAAGTGGGTTGACATTATTTAGATTATCCATTAAAGGTTGAAATTTGAAACTTTCCACTTCTGAAATTAATTCATTTTGATCCACATCTTTGTGGTACATTTTTGCTAGATGCATTGTACTTTTTTTAAGTTAATTAATAGAAACACATGACCGAGAATCTCCCCTGAGAAATTTAAAGTCAATTGAAATTTTAGATAATTTTTCAAAGCGCTATTTTAATTGTGTAAGAAAACTATCAAAGACTGAAACACTTTGTTGCTCAAATTCACTCTTAGATTGAAGTAGGGAACTATCATCTTTTGACTCATCAAAACTCATGCGTTTTACTCTTCGCCTCCTCTTCAATGGAAAGTGTGGATCGATTCCGATTTTGGTTATCAACATCCTAGCTGTTTGCAACAGCTAGGATGTTGAGCCGATTCTCTTTTCTCAAAGTTTTTGAATAGAATTGACTAAGCTTTTCAGCCTTTTTGAGGCAACATTAGCAGACATTCTTTTTGATTGCAAATTATTGTTTTCTCTGTCCATCAAAGTTAAAATCTTGCACCATATATCCAGAAAGCAGATAAACTCAAAATCAATTTGATTTAAAATATATATCTTTTGCACCATATACTGTTGGTGGATTTAAACCGAAATCTTCACTAATATTTGGAAAAACCTGATTTTGACAATTTGATTGTACAAAGGACAGACAGCTTCTTTCTTTGCAGACTATCTTGTACTATTGTGATTTTTTAATGATATGTTAATATTTGTCATTAACTTATCCCATCTAATAGTTGAGCTTAAAAAATAGTAGTAAGTTTGTACTATGGTACTATTGTACTCGGCCAAAAAGTGATTACATTTTAATAGTTTTATTTGACATTAAAGCTAATGTATATTATACATATAATTTATATTATATGTATATTATACATATAATTTATATTATATGTGTAGATATAAATATAGTTTCCAAATTATGCAAAAATTTCCGCCCCGTACGATGGACCTCTCGCACACCCATTGCTATGGTTCTGCTTCGAAAAATTCTATTTGTTAACAATTATCATATTAAAAACTCAAAAAACATTAATAAAAATTCAAAACTTAGAACGTTCGAAAATTAAATACGTGTACGTTTGCGTCAAATATAATTTAATAAACTAAACTTTTTCACTGATATCTTTGATTCGGTTCAACTTCGATTAAATTTTATTAATTAAAAATGTCGAAGGATGCTAAAAGAAAGCTAACAAGTAGAACTATAACAGAAAATTACATAATACTAAAAGAACTCGAGAAAGGAAAATCATTTGTATCAAATCAAAGAAATATGGCATTCCAAGACAAACATTGTCTGGATGATCAAAAGCAAAAAGCACAATATATTCAGAAGTCAAAAAAAATAAACTCCTGCAATAAGAGTGAGGCAGGCGCAGACTGGGGCTTCAAATCCTACCGGGAAGTAAAGAGGGAGGGGCGCTACAAGGTTGGATAGGGGTAGAAAGTAGGCTAGTGTTTATATAAAGGTCTTTTTCATTTGAATATGAAATCATTTTTAAATCATTTAAAATAAAATAAAAATAAAAAATTTATCCGGTATTTACACTGGAAAAGAATTTTTATTTTAAGCAAAAAAAACTTGTTTTAAGCAATTTTTCACTTAAAACAAGCAAATCTTTACTTGTCAGTATGGTAAGCTATTTTTTTCTTAAAACAAGTTTATTTTTGCTTAAAATAAGATTTCATTTTAAAATGAATTCTTATTTTAAGTAAAAAAGATCTTGTTTTAAGCAATTTTTGACTTAAAACAAGCAAATTTTTACTTGTCAGTATGGTAAGCAATTTTTTTCTTAAAATAAGAATTCATTTTTTGCAGTGCTTACTGTAACTGACTAAAATCTCCTAATGTAATTTATAGAAGAAACATCTTTGATAACTCTACGGAATCCTTACACAAATAGGCAATTACGTCCTCAACTGCAATTGAATCCAAAATGTCCTTCTCGGTCGACATCAACATAAATGTTTCAAGCTTGTCACTACATAATGAGGAACGCAGCCTAGTTTTGACAATTTTTAATTTACTAAATGCCCGTTCACAGCTCACTTGTGAGAATGAAAGTGTTAATAGATATTCGTAAGTCAGAAACAGATTTGAATAAGCAGTTGCATTCAACGAATATTTGTATAGAATACTATAGCAACATTTTAAATATTTTTTACAAAACCCTACACAACGCTTAAAGTTATTAAAATCTCTATCATTCTCATTTTCAGTTGCTTTTGTTGAAGTATCCAACTCTGAGACTGAATTCGATTCTTCTGAACCTTCGTTACTAGGACTCACTGTAAATTCATCTTGTAGTGTTTTTGAGAGCCTATCAAAGTTTATAGCAAAGCTATGCAATTCAGATCTTAATCTTTCAGAACAAAGTTTAGTTAGTTGAGAAATTTTTGCAAGACTGTTTTCTGGAATACCATTTTCAACAATTTCTTTAAAACGTCTGGGATCTAAACACGCAGTATCTCTAATGATATCCCTGTTAACTGAGAAACGTTCATCTATGCTAGTAATAATCTGTTCAGTTACTCTACAGAAAACATCCATTCTGAAGCGATCAAGAGGATTCTCTGGTATTTCATCAAAGGCGAATTCCCCTGCCATACGTTTCTTTCGATGAACTCGTTCTACATGCAATTCTGTTTCAACATCTGAATCAAGTTTACTAGCATCTAGAAGGGTGTTGATTTCTTTAACAAATGCAATTGTCTTGGAATGGACATCTTCGAACGATATTGTCTACAGTTCTTGTTTTGCTGACTATACCATATTCCAAGCACTTATTTAATCCAGACTATTGTTATTTCTATATACACATTATATATACTTTCTTTGGTAACAACTGTATCGAGTTCTGACGTACAGTCTGTTACACTTTTTACGGGCAATTTGCTAATGGTAAAATCTGATTGCTTATCTTGTAGAGGACTGGAGGACACTGTATTTGACACGGTACTTGCTTCAATAATTATCTCTCTAAACGAGAATTTGGATAAAGCATGTTATATGTGGTTTTTAAACACCCGACATCAAAACATTCATGTGTCATTCTGTGTCGATAATATCAAAATCTTGGTAAGTCGGACATTTTCAAAGATGTCCGACATAACAAGAGCTTTACTTAATTTGGACATTTGCTAAGTCGGACAATATATATATATATATATATATATATATATATATATATATATATATATATATATATATATATATATATATATATATATATATATATATATATATATATATATATATATATATATATATATATATATATATATATATATATATATATATATATATATATGTATATATCCTAACAGACTCCGTGTTAACGGGAGTCTACTGTAATATAATTAAAATTAGAGATTCAGAAAATGTAATAAATGAAGATACTCAAAGGCAATTTTAAGGAAAATGGGAGGTGGAAACAGATGATTTTGAAGTTATAGTCGGTATTTGACGAATATAGTCGGGTATTCGGGTATTTGACACAATTCAGTCGTGTGAATTTTAGTTTTTGGAATCTTTTTTTTTTACAAGCAGTTCAATGTTAGAAAGCAAAGTAATAGCGAACAATTTTTGAAAATATTCTTGAAAAAAATATTTCTAAAAAATCCATTCAAGTTTTACTTTTAATATTCTTCCTTAATTTTAAACTATATTTGTTAGTTTATATTTTTGCAATGGAGATAATGGCGAGAAAGAGTCGCACTTTTTGTATATGGAAATGTGAACAAAAATGTATACAAAAATCTAACTTATGCAGACTTAAAATAATGTAATGTTAAAACATATTAAAACATATATCAAGTTTTACAGTTTTACTTTTGCTTAAAAACTTCAGAATTTTGATTTATAATTTTTTTTTTTACCGTTTTATAAACTCTTTTGTTTCTTAAATAGTTTTAACATCTTCGTCAGACAACATGCTTGTGTGGCCGAGTGGTTAGATTGCAGACTTTCAGAAGCAAAACGTTGTGGTTCGAATTCTGGAACACTGGAATCTTTTTTTTTTTTTTTTTTTTTTTATTAATTTATTATTATTCTAAAATATAAATAAAACAGTTTCATAGATATAATATATATAACATACTTTATAATATACATAACATACTTTAAGATATTATACACTGTAGCAAATGAAAGTGAGAGGATTTTAAAAAAAGCTTAAAATTTCTAAAAACATTAAAACATCGATAGAAATTTATTGCGCATATTTAAGATAATATTAATGTGCTCGGTTAATTAGTCCTAATTAGGAAGTTGTGGATGGTCTAAAAAAAAAAAAATAAGCTGTGGGTGGTCTAAAAAAAAATGATGGTCTGAAACTTATTAAAGAAAAAAATTAATAATACCGTCCTGTTACTCAAGAAGGTGCTGCTGTGGAGGCAGACTGAAAAAATTAAAAATGTTTTGTATTAAAGAGCGGGTTTGCCATACCTAGCTCCTCGTAACCTATTTTCCTGGTCCTACTTTGTAAACTTGATATAGTCTTGATGAACGGTTGAAATTTTATTTTCTAAGCCTTAAAATTTTAAAGACGCCGTAAGATATGTCACGCAACTCCCATTAAAAAGGACATTAAAATGACGTTTTTCTTTTTCAAAGTAGGAAGATGAGACTTTTTTTTCAAAAAATATAAACGGGGTAAATTTTTAATGATATCTAAGCATGCAAATAATGTGCGCATATTTATTTTTTTTTGCTCTAAGAGCAATATTTAAATACCATTATTCAAAAAATATTAAAGTAAGGAAATAGAGATAAATATCTGAACAAGTATAAAAATAGGGGTAGGTGTGAAATAAACTCCCCTAGACCCGTCATGAGAGCTAGTTATTATTATTGTTATATATATATATATATATATATATATATATATATATATATATATATATATATATATATAAATGTATACATATATATACTGGCGTAGAAACAGGGGGCGCAGGGGGTGATAGCCTCCTTAACTTTCGGAAAATTTTAATTTTTTCTCTTCAAATTCTGATTCTTGCTGCCTTAGTCCCTCTTAGTTTCAATTTCACTCAATTTTCTTGACCTTCCTATGCCATTGTATATATATATATATATATATATATATATATATATATATATATATATATATATATATATATATATATATATATATATATATATATGCATATATATATATATATATATATATATATATATATATATATATATATATATATATATATATATATATATATATATATATATATATATATATATATATATATATATATATATTAGGGGTGTTCACTATGCAAAAATTTTGAAAGCATTCAAATTGTTTTTATCCCCATTTTAGTGTTTGTGTAGAATGTAAAAAGCCCCTAAAGATAAGCCTCAAGTTCCTGTAAAAGTTTCATAAACAAGCAAATTAATATTGTGATATTGACGCAATTTAATATGTACTATTAATATGTACTATTGGATAGTCTAATTTAATATGTACTATTGGATAGTCAATTTAATATGTACTATTAATATGTACTATTGGATAGTCTAATTTAATATGTACTATTGGATAGTCAATTTAATATGTACTATTAATATGTACTATTGGATAGTCCAATAGTACATATTAATAGTAAATATAGATAATAAAGTTTGATAGTCTTTTTGATATTGATGCCATACAGGAAATCATGAAACCCAGGTTTTTTTATTATTATTTTTTTTCTTTTTTGTAGTTATTTTAGGTGCTCCCAGACGTCCTTAAGGCCGTACCAATGTCGCTTGTTGGACTAAAGCTGGCGTCGAGCCTGGAACTTCTTGGTTCTGAGTCAGAACTCTAACCACTGCGCCACGGCTTCTTAAAACCCAAAAGAAAAATTATGATTAAAGAGATTGAGGCAAAAATGCAAGAAGTCAAATCAGAAAATCATACTCAGCTATTAAGAAAATAAAAGAGAAGAAAAAGAAGGTAGACGGTATGTTCGTGATGATGAGGGCATAGAAGTTAATGATAAAGAACATAATATTGAGGAAAATATTAATTTTGCTGAAGTAGATAACGGTTTAGCGACTGTGACTTGAAATATGAACCTTCTACAGAAAGACGATCAGAATTTGGTACTCTTCTCCTCCCCCAAAAGAATTGCGCAATGCGATTGCAAAAACAGTCAGCAGCAGAAAAGCTATAATTGTCTGATAATACAACAAATGTGATTGTGTCTGCTGTAATTAAAGCTGCTGGTGGAAACTTTGACACTTTTGATATTTCCACATTGACATCTCATTGAAGTAGAATGTTAAATTGACAGAGGATTGCTGAGAGTGTTATAGATGATGTAAGGCTCAACCCACCTCAGTTTGGTGCCTTCACTGGGACCAAAAATTGCTAAAAGACATACTAGATGTGCAACATAAACAGTTAGCTGTGGTTATGTCAGGTGCTCCAGAATACAATGAAGGAAAGTTGTTTGGTGTTCCTGCTTTCGTTAATTCGAAAGGAACGACTCAAGCAAATAAAACATTGGGTCTTCTAGAAGCTTGGGATCTAAGCAAAAATGTTGTGGCATTGGTATTTGATACCACTGCCAGTAATACTGGTATCCACAATGGTGCTGCTAAATTGATTGAAGAAAACTTAAATCGAATACTTCATTACCTTGTCTGTCGGCACTACATTCTTGAAATCTTTGTCGGAGCAGATTAAAATAAACTATTTTGAATCATTTTTGGTCGAGATAATAAACTCTTTGCTGAATTTAAAACTTCCTGGCCAACATAAAATACACATTTGTCAATTGAAATTTTAGCTGTTGAAGTCACTTGGTTGTTAAACTTCAAAAAACAGACCATACAGCATTTAATACATCAACTGGTATTTCCACACACCAGCTGGGACAAAAGCTAGCAATAGTGATGATACACCTATGAATGACCTGCAATTCATCCACGACATGTTGGACTACAACAAAAAAGATGAAGAAGTTGCTGATGTTTGTCTTTACAAAACAAATAATCACCGTTATTATTTAACAGAAAAGGAAGTTCCATTTGCTTTTTTCAGCAAACATGTTAGTTCCACTGTGAAAAAAAATATGGCTGCCAAACTCTTGGAAATTTTAGTACCTGAATATTTTTGTCTTGGTAAGCCAGTTTTTTGTAAAATCAGTCGTCAAACCAATTTGTCAAATCTTCTGGGACCTAAATCTTACATATTGTTTAGTTATTGTTTACCTGGCACCAAAACAGATTGGCTTGCTAAACTAATTTTTTTTTTTTTTTAAGTTGATTAGGGTACCCCAAGAAGTCCTTACGGTCTTATCACAGAGCACCGCGGAAGAGCATTTAATAGTTCACACCTCCTTCCCAACCGATGTCGGAAAACTTGCCCAGAGGTGGGGTTTGAACCACAGATCTTATGTTTCTGAAGCAAGTCCGCTACCACTGCGCCACGGCTGCTATATATATAATTGAATAGTGGAAAGAGCAACTAGGATACCAAAATGCTGAAATTTTTTTTTTCAAAAAAGGTTGTAAATGATTCCGCGCAGAGAGAGAAATGAAACTGTTTTTAGTATATGCCTCAATCATAACCAATGATCTACAACAAAGTGAGTGGTTGCTGCAGGGCGTCAAAAATCACAGGAAGCAATATATTGATTTGGCAAAAAAAAAAGTTTGAGACAATTAAACAACATTATTAATATTTATATGTTTCCACTATAGTGTTAACAAAAAAATGCAGAATTAGCTGCGCAATATAGCATATATTATACAAGCTGCTTTTGTTTGGCTTGATTTCTGTTATTTAATTTTTAATGACTAGAAAAAAGTGATTCAGTGTACTTATTTTTCCTTGTTTCAACTAAAAAAAGATATTGTTTCATACAGGAGGCTTCGAGGCTTATCTATAGGAGTTTTGAGGGAGCTCTGGAATAGTGATTAAAATGTGATTATAAAAATTTTTACATTGTAAACAAACGATAGAATGGGAAAAAATTCAAATTAGATAGTCTATTGTATTATTATAGCATAATGCAAGATAATGTATTATTATAGTATAATAATAAAAATAATATAAATACTCTTGTGCGTTTAAGAGTGCTCAATACTATTAAATAATAGATCAATATTTATTTATATAAAATGAATAAAAACAACTTTTGATGGAATTCTGAGCTTCATGCCTTTCGGCAATCATCAGCCATTTTGAATAATTCGTAACGTAAAAAATACATAATAAAATTACGGCGAAACGAGTTCTGACGTTACAAAAATTATCCCCTACCGCTTTTAATAATATTTTCAAACTCAAATCTAATAACAAATACGATATGAGAAACATAAATTTTTTAAATAAGCCGTTTTGTCACACAAAATTTAATCAATTTTGTATTGCTTATTGTGGACCCCACCTATGGAATAATATTGTTCAGCGAAATCTCGATCAACCCACTTCCTTTTATTTTTTCAAGCTCTATCTTAAAAAATGTATTTTTTCCACGGTCTACTTACGACTTCCACGACTTACTAAATAAGTGGAAAGTTATTATACGCAAGCGCAGTAAAGTTTGCATATTTTAAAAGTTTTAAAAATGGCTACGGATAACGAATATAAAAAAAATTCTCATTGACAACGAGATAATTTTCTAATTTTTAGCAATTAAATATGCATTTAGCCGATTATTAAAAGGAAATTATAATAAAAGTAACTTCTAGTACACGATAAAATATTTCAAATTAAATATAAAACCTCTAAAAATAAATAAAATGTAATTACAGCAATAGCTATTTTAGTGTGTTTTGTTTATCGTTTTCAAATTGTTTTTAAAAAAATTTTGAGCGTAGAAATTTTTAAATTTTAACTTTTTCAGATAGATGAACTGTTGATCTTTCTTAGAATGTTTACTGATATTAGTATTCAATTTTTTTTCAAGATTAAAATATATTTTTTTAACATTAACTTTTAGTAAGCTGTTGCTAGGCTACCCTATAATCACAATACATAATTACATTGATGTGAGTATATATATATATATATATATATA